CTGGAAAGAATAACTATCGTAGATAATATGGCATCTTCGAATTCAATTTTCTACTTGGGGGTGGATTTGGCATGTCTCTAGTCAAATACTGATCCCGAAGAAAAGGAATTTCACTTAAAATGAAAAGAGGGTTTAGTTTTTTAAAAAAATAGAAAGGTAAAAAAATGTGAAGAGGAAAAAAACGAAAATGAAAAGAAAAAAATTAAAAAGTAGAAAATTATCTTCAGGGCGTGAACGACAATTGCTCTCCACAATTTCCTATCCTTTGAAGTTCTCAAAATGCCTTTTAACGTTTTAGCTGGGATTTGTATTCTTTAAATATTAGCCCAAGCCCCGAGGAGGGGATTTCCCCTCATGCAAGTATTTCTACCTCGGAAGGGGACTGGGTTTATTGCCCAGTACCTTAAGCGTACCCAGTAGGGGATCTGCTGAGGGGCCTATTTTTGCGCTGTATGGCCGTTAAACTCACTTTAAACCTCGACCTTTTGCCACACATGGTGGGAGCCCTGGTAAATACCCCACCCAGCCCCTGTTCTATCATTGATTTATATAATCTCTTTAAATAGGTTATTCAGTTTTCCTCTTGCATCCAATGAGTGTCAAATTCTCCAAGCCATCTTTCTTCGTTATGTTCCTTATGTTGAAACACCGATTCCCGCCCGACCACCGAAATTAAGCAATGTCAAGCCTAGTCAGTACCTAGATGGATGTCAGCTTGGGAATACCAGTGTCTGTAACTTTGGATGTGTGAGTAATGTGATAGGGGCTCGGAATGAGAAGTCGAAAAGCCGAGTTCGAATTTCAGTCGGGTTCATTAAATTCAGTTATGCGTGATTATCCTTGAGAAAGGGATGAATCCACTATTTCTCTTCACGTCTATGGGTGCAAATAGCAAGATATGTATCAGAAATTAATTATTATCTCCCAGAAATTAAAAAAATCACCTGCAAAAAAAAAAAAAGAATTTTACAATCCCCCCAAAATATGTTTCGACTTTAAGTAACCTACAAAAGGTTGATAAGCCGTAAAAAATAGTCAATCAATCAATCAATGCTTTAGAAATTTCAACTGTCTTTTTTTCTGACTCTAGTGAAATTTTTTTTTGTTTCCTTTTTCTTTAAAACTTCCTTTGTTTTCTCAGTATCCTTCTGTAGAACAGAATCTCCGTTGCCTCCAGTTTCCTCTTCCAGTGTGAAGGAATTGTCCAGGTTTCGCTGCCATATAGGACGGCTGATATTACATAGCAATTTAACGCACTAATGAAATTTTCATCTTTCTTAATACTTAAGCCATTTTGATGGGAGGTGGAATGGTATCTTTCGATATTCCAATGCGTTTTCAGATACCTGTAACATTTTCTGTTGTCTTTTATAACCGTTTCCATATGGTTAAATTTTTGTACTTTATTGATTCCGACGTCTCCAATTTGTAACTTGTCGGCTGCCTCTTTTGCTAACGACCGCTGCTTTGGAAGAATCAAAAGAATAAATTAAACCGGAAAAAAAACAAAAAAAAAAACAGTGAAAACAAGAGAAGAAAATAAATGACAATGAGTCGAAGGAAATTGAAACGTGTTAAACAGGAAAGAGAATTTGAAAAATCGTTAAAAATTAAAAGAAAAATGGATTGGATTTAAAAATGGAGATTTTAAAATAACTCTTTGATATTACTAAGAAAATTGGTTTGAACTTGCTTTGCAGCTAACTTGGTTGTACATTTCTTGATTTTCTAAATCCAGCATCGATTTTCATGTGGTATTTTATTTTCTGGCATCACTGATTGATTTTTGCCTGTCTCATATTTTATTTTCAATCGCAAATTTTTCATAACTCTCTCTCTCTCTCTCTTTCTCTCTCTCTCTCTCTCTCTCTCTCTCTCTCTCTCTCTCTCTCTCTCTCTCTCTCTCTATATATATATATATATATATATATATTGTTTTCTCTTATTTTTCTTATATTTTAATTTTCTCAATTGCGTTTTCTCTTTTTCTCATTCTTTTCGCCAATGTCTTCATTTTTTTTACCTTTTTCTTTCTCTTTTTATTCTGGTTTTCTATAAATACACTCGCCCCCTCCCCCTCACACACACATGCGAAACTTCTTTTTTTAACTCATTTCATTGCAAGCAAGACGACAATGCCATTAGTGGGTTACTGAGAGCGAAAGAAACAGAGAAGACATTAACGGAACATGATTAAAGAAGACAGAAGATAACGATTGACATTGCCTTTAAATTTTTGAAGATTATAAATGAAAGAAAATCAGGAAGCCATGAGAGATTTCCAGAAGCGAGAAGTGCAAGTAAAGAAACACAAAGCAAAGAAACATACGGTTATATCTACTTTTTCTGTAAAATGCCGCCAATCTAATACTGCGCGTAAAGTCGTAAAACCTGGGTACCCTAGAGGAGAATAATGTGCGACACCTTTGTTATAATACAAAGGTGTCGCACAACGCTAGAAAGGTGGATCTTCAATCAGTCTTATCTTAAACGGGTCTTCAAGCTGTCTTTTCTTAAACTTAGCTAACCACGATTACTGACCCAAATATACCACAGTATTCCATACACCAAAACAACACATTCTTATTACCATTCTTTATACAGTCACCATAATACCTCAAGTCTCTATGAAGTTCTAATTAGTTCCCATATATACAATTTATCTGTGGGGTGGGGAATAAAAATAACAACATTTTAAAAATTTAACCCCAACGAATATTTACAAGGAATACAGTTTATATACAAGAAACTAAACAAAATAGTGTTAGTAATAAAAAAACAAAAACAAAACAGTCCTTAATTGTGGCAGAAGAAGCAGTTAACTGGACGAAATTAGCAACACCCATTCAACCAAACACTTGCTCAAAAACACACCAATCCAGAGAAGAAGAAAAAAACAATTAGGAAAGAAAAAAACGTAAAAAAAAGTGCCCTGCATCTACCAGAGAACTGACATCTCTGTCATCTAATGAGGGAGAGCAGGGGTAATTAAACTAAAGAAATAAAAGAGGCCAATGAGCATACATTCCTTATGTAAGTTAACTTCATGGAAGAAACTCAGGATTAAACAAACCAAATCTACCCTATTTTGAGCGGGGTTGCCTATGTTCAATATAGAGTTCCCAATACCCTGATGCCTAACCGGCATCATATTAAGTCGTACCATAGAAGAGAGTTCATCAGAATAATTACCATTATTATTATTTATAGAAAAGGTACAAAGAAATAATATTACGTCGGTTGAAAATCTCTTGTCGGTGCTGAGTAAGTTATGCTTCTTAATTGGGCACCTGGCCGACTGATAGAATGTTAGAACGTTCGCATTCTGAGCATGAGGCCCTGGTTCGAATCTCACCATAGTCGATTTACCAGGAAGGAGAATTCCTGAAGTTGAGGGGTCGATCCCAGCGTGCGGCACCTTTGGAAAGTGCCTGAAAACCATACCACGGGTTGACCCAAACCTTGTGAGTTAAATTGGGTAGACGGAGCCCTTGTGGTGGGGCGTCGATAGCTGTGCTAGCACGAAGCCACAAGTCATCGTGGCCGAGGGCTTGAGCATGCTGGCCTTGTTTAAATTGTTGATCACGCTAGATAACACGCTCTTTCCCAGAAACCGTAACTAACGTCTGCTCAGAATAGTTGCAGTATAAACCACAGGTGAGCTCTGTGGGTGTTGAATAAACAAAAATGCGCCTGAGAAAGCGTCTGCAGTAGGGATTGGCTAGCCACCCTAGTAGACGGGTATCCTCGAATACGAGTTGCCAGCTATACATGCTCCTTAATAGTGACCTTGTGCCAGTCGAAACAATTTTAAACAAATGCACATGACAGTATTTGCACCCGTTCTACGCGTGTGCAGATATTTCGAATGTCTTCTCATACTTAGGAAAAAATCCTTTATACACCTTGGTTGATAGGAAACTCCACAACACTTATGAGAATTACGCCAAGCACTTTTTTCTTTATTTACCGAGCTGTGTATCGATTAGAGCCTGTCTATTCACGTTCTTAACCTCTGTCTTTTTAACTACCAAACATATCTCCAGGGCCTTCATAAGTCAGTCGGGCGCACAATATCCTGGCTTTTGCTGATGAGAATCAACGCATCGAGCACCTTTCGGTCCTGGTTACCATTTTCGAAAAGATGCTGGTCTCTTCGGCACCAGGTTAGAGAGTCTTACAAGGAAACACTGTATCACAGTTTGGCGCCAAAAGCGGCAAAGGCTATTGAAACATCCGTTCTATGAAGGCCTGGAAACTTTTTATGTTGCTTGCATTTCAGATTCTACATTCATTGCAATTGGCTCTTCAATGTTCTTCCCAAACTTACCATTTTCTCATTCCTGCTTATCGATTTGGTAATTTCACCATTATTCTGCTCCATGTTATTTTTTTTTTTTACTCTTTCTATAACACGCATTTACACACACACGCATTCAAACACCCAAATATACACAAACACAGAGAGAGAGAGAGAGAGAGAGAGAGAGAGGTGGGGAGAGATAAAGATATTCTTACATAGGTATATATAAATTTTAATTTGATCTTTCTATGAACTTGTTTATATATGTGTGTGTGCGTTCGCATATATATATATATATATATATATATATATATATATATATAGATAGATAGATAGATAGATAGATAGATAGATAGAAAGATATGCATCATTGATTTCTGTGCTTAAGCTGTTTATATCTACAAACACTTTACTTCGATATAAAACACTTTCACGCATAAATATATTACATTTTTAACAATAGAATTATTTATGTATGTCTGCACACACACACGCACGCGACCGTACCCTCACACATGTATAGACAGAGAGAGAGAGACAGACAGACAGACAGACAGACAGAAAGAGACACACGCATCATATATATAGATAGATAGATAGATAGATAGATAGATAGATAGATAGATATGCATCATTGATTTCTGTGCTTAAGCTGTTTATATCTACAAACACTTCGATATAAAACACTTTCATAAATATGAACGTACCCCCACACATGCATAAACAGAGAGAGAGAGAGAATGAGACTCACGCATCATATATATATAGATATATATATATATATAGTAGATAGATAGATAGATACCCCCACACATGCATAGACAGACAGAGAGAAAGAAAGAGACACACACATCATATATATATATATATATATATATATATATATATATATATACTTTCATATGGATGTCATATATGGCGCCAACTCCGTTCAGAAATCACTAAACTGTCGGCTGTATGCAAATACTTTCTCTGACCAATGGTTAAAATATCTTTAAGAGAGCGAAGCTGGTGCGTCTTGGCCATGACAATATCCCTTCGAACTTTGTGGACTGGTGCTACAGAATCTCTATCTATAAAAGGCAGGATGTGTGTGTGTGTGTGTATGTGTGTGTGTGTGCGTGCGCGTATGTGTGTGTGTGTGTGTGTGTAACGAATGCACGACTGCAATTTTCGACGGATTTGCACCAAAATTTACATGCACATGCTCCAAGTTAGCGGAGAAGGCTAAGACCGATTTTGCATTTCCCAACTCCCATCGATAGTGGAAATAATCGATTTTTTTCATGCTTCTACGGCAGTTTTTCGTGTAGTTTGCTGTCATTTTCTACTGGCCAGCGTGAGAGCCAACAGCTGACTGACACGAATGTTAACTAGCGTGCTAGCATACAAAAAAAACGATGGCTGCATTCGTCACAAGTTGGAAAAATTTAAATCTGCAAGGCACTTTACTCCAATTGGCTCATTCGCTTGCTTAAACTCAACGTTGATTCTGATTCCGCAGAACTGGGTTGGGTGTGAAAAAGTATTTGTTGTTAACATTCTTTTTTCATTCGGTTTTTCCAGTTACGAGTCCGTTTTTTAAAGCTGATCGTTTTGTGTTCATTTTGTTTAGTTCTTTTTTCGTAACAGATTTAATATTTAGTATAGAGCTTAGAAAAAATTCGCAGTGTGAGATAGGCAAGAAGTCAGGCATGTAGCAACATCAGCACGGCGAAGGGCACTCCTTTAAAGGCAAGGAAGGGCAAAAATATTTTAAGTCAAGTGATAGCGATTGCTGTATGAGTCGTACGTTTTTTGAATCAAGCACGGGCAACGCCGGGCTATGCTGCTAGTTACAAATAAATTTTTGGTATTGAATCTTCTCGATTTCCTTTATAGAGCGATTTCCAATACTTTTTTTAGCGTAAAATATTTTACTACAGTAAAATAATTTCACTAATTTCTATATTAAAAAATATTTGCAGTTATTTTCTATCGCAAAAATATTTCTGTATCTGATGGCGCCAAATCCATTCAGAAATCAACTGTATTTTACCGCTTTTAAGATCAATAGTGAAAAAAGGCCTTGGGCGAGGAAACCCTCATTAATATTAGAAAGAGCTATGAGAGTTACTGGACTTAAGAAACCTATTCTCCTAAAAAATGTTGTAAGAGAAAGATTTTATAAATTTCAACCGACAATCATTGAATGCCGAATATTAACTACTAAGGAAACGCCTAATATGACTATATATATATATATATATATATATATATATATATATATATATATATATATATATATATATATATATATATATATAAAAGGCTCAAACACTAATATTCCATGGTTACAATTTATTACATTGAATCGTAATCACAATCCAATTCATCAGACCTACAATTTTAGGTTTGATATTATATTCTTACTTTTGATATTATATTCTTACTCTGTCCTGGACATTGAGTTCTACCTGGATTCTATCCTCTTGGGAATTTATATATATATATATATATATATATATATATATATATATATATATATATATATATGGTGTTTTTCCAAGCGTAGCTTAGATGTGGCACAAGGCCGAAAGTATGGGGCACCTAGTGAACAGACAGATTAAGAATTCACAGTTCTTAGCATTTACTTTTTTTTAAAAATGCTCAATATATGGTAGAGTAAAATATTATTATAATATTATATTATCGCTGCACAAAAACTTTTATGTTTCGGAACTATAATGTTCCTTCATCAGGCGATGATAGATACTTATGATGACTTAAGGATTTATTTGAGAAACTTGAAAACAAATCATTAACTCATTTAAGAGTTAAAAATGAGGAGGAGGAGCCTAATTTCAAAATTAAAAAACATATGAATTTTTCATTTTCCCTTTTAGCTTAAATCTGTCTCTTAATTCTCCATTCCCGTCTCTAACTTACTTTTTTCTCTCGTCTCTCTCTCCCTCTCTCTCTCTCTCTCTCTTCTCTCATGTCTATCGCTCCAACTCTCTAGCTCTCTCTCTCTCTCTCTCTCTTCTCTCATCTCTCTCCTTCGCTTTCTTTTATTGCATCTCCTTCCCTCTTTTCACATTTTCATCTTCCTCTATATCTTCCATCATCTCTCTATTATCTCGTTCCAACTTTCTCTCTCTCTCTCTCTCTCTCTCTGTCCCTTTTCCTGTTCTCTCCCTCATCGCTTTTCCGCTTCGATCTCTCATCTCTCTCATTTTCTCTCCTCTCATATCTCTCCTATATTTATTCTTCTCTCTCTTTCATCTCCGGTCGTCTCTCTTTTATCTCATCTCCTTCCTATCTTTCCGTCTTTCTCCTCCCGTCTCTCATCTCCTGTCGTCTCTTCCCTCATCTCTCTACTTTCTCGCTTCGACTCTCCCTCCCCCACATCTCTCTCTCTCTCTCTCTCTCTCTCTCTATCGGATATTTCTCCTATATTTATTCTTCTCTGTCTTTCTCTCTCACCTCTCTTCGTCTTTATTCTTCTCTCTTATATAATCTCTTTTTAATCTTTCTTTCTTCCTCTCTCTCTCTCTCTCTCTCTCTCTCTCTCTCTATTAAGGGATGCACCCCTTTTTCATACAAGTGAACTCGCCCAGTGTGTACTTGCACTGCTGTGAATACCCGGCAGTCAGAGAGTCAGGCACTCAGAGAGTGATACAGTGAGAGAATGAGAGTGTGAGGTAGCCGCTTTGTAGGAGTCACAGTTGCGAGCACGTAGATTCAGAAGTAAGTCCTACTTCGATACTGAATTTCCCAGACTGTATATATATTATTATTGCTACTAACCGCATTTATGGATCTACTAACCAATTGTATTATTACGTCGATACATTTATTTGCTATATTTCATTCCTGCGTTTGTCATTCATTTGAGACCGGATCTCATCCCGAAATCCACAACACTTAACGACCTTGAAACCTTAACACCCCAGGCGAAGCTCTCTGGGCAACACTGGATGAATGTGGTGTAGCGAATCTATTAGAAGAAGTCACATAAATTATTTCCATAGCAAGTGTTAAAAAGAAGCAAATTCATCAGTTACACCAGCTCAGCCGTCTACAGCTAAGACACGCCATTCTACTTTTTGGGGTTGAATCAGCGTCATCTCCCCCGGGTTTCAAATGTAAAAAAAAAGGTTCCATCCAAAAAATGTTTTCCCTAAAATTGCCACTTTGTTGGAACAGTATTTCCGTAAACATTATAATCTTAACCTGATCAAATGAAGGATCAGACGCTATCAATCCTCTTAATCTTTACATCGAGCCACTCTGACATTCATATAACACACGTCATCAATTATTAACATATTAACAGTAACCTTCTTACTTGATTGGCTGTTCAGTCTTATACTGGGAAAATAATTTTCACTTTTCATTGCTCCTTTATTAACACTTCATTCACCATTACCATTTCAATAGTAACTCTATTTGTAGGAGAATATTCTATCTATCTAGCTAGCTAGCTAGCTAGGTATCTATCTATCTATCTATCTCAGCCTTGTCTTTTCGTATCTATCTATTTATCTCAGTCTTGTCTTTTCGTATCTATCTATCTATCTATCTATCTATCTATTGTATCTATCTATATCAATCTTGTCTTTCATCTATCTATCTCTTGTCTTTTTTTATCTATCTATCTCAGTCTTGTCTTTTCGTATCTATCTATCTCAGTCTTGTCTTCTATCTATCTATTATCTATCTCAGTCATCTATCTATCTATCTATCTATCTCAGTCTTTTCTATCTATCTTTCATATTTCTCATTCATCTATCTATCTATCTATCTATCAGTCTTGTCTTATCGTATCTATCTATCTCAGTCTTGTCTTTTATCTATCTATCTATCTATCTATCATCTCATCTTTTTCGTATCATCTATCTCAGTCTTGTCTTTTCATCTATCTATCTATCAATCTATCTTTTCGTATCTATCTATCTCCAGTCTCATTATCTATCTATCTATCTATATCTATCATTATCTATCTGCCTTTTCCATCTATTCATCTATCTATCTCATCTTCTCTCTTTTCGTATCTATCTATCATTATCTATCTATCTATCTATCTCAGTCTTTCGTATCTATCTATCTCAGCCTTGTCTTATCTTTTCGTATCTATCTATCTATCTATCATTATCTATCTATCTATCTATCTATCTATCTATCTCAGTCTATCCATCTATCTATCTATCTCATCTTTATCCTATCCATCTATCTATCTATCTATCTATCTATCTCAATCTGATCATTATCTATCTCAGTCTTGTCTTTTCCATCTATCTATCTCCATCCATCTATCTATCTATCTATCCTCATCTTATCTTGTCTATCCATCTATCTATCTATCTATCTATCTATCTATCTATCTATCTATCCTCAGTCTTTTGATCATTATCTATCTATCTATCTATCTCAGTCTTGTCTATCTTCTATCTATCTATCTTTCTATCATTATCTATCTATCTCAGTCTTGTCTTTTCTATTTCTATCTATCTATCTCAGTCTATCATTATCTATCTATCTATCTATCTATCTCAGTCTTGTCTTTTCGTATCCATCTATCCATCCATCCATCTTTTCAATCTATCATTATCTATCTATCTATCTTATCTTTCTATCTATCTATCTCAGTCATCCATCTATCTATCTATCTATCTCCCAGTCTTGTCTTTCTGCATCTATATATCTCAGTCTATC